CTTGTGCTAGCCTAGAGCAACTCAGATATATAATTATATATTGTTTGGTTGACTTATACGAATATAAATCTTACTTTTCTTCTTTTCTGCCTAAAATCGTTTTTTTCGTTTTATTCCTTTCATGATTATTTTTCGAAGATAATACTTTAGCACAATGTTAGCACAACTTAGCACAACCTAGCACAATAAAAAAAATTTGGAAAATCAAAAAGTGGGGGGCTACCAAAAAAAACGGTTTTTTCCATTTTTCTCGCTCATTTTTCGTATTAAAAATTTATAATTCGAGCACAATGTAGCACAAACCTAGCACAAATCAGCACAACTGTCAAAATTAATAAATTCGAAAAGTGGGGGGCTAACTTCATACAGGCTGTAATTTCCTATTCAACAATGTAACTGTTATATAACATGTATATTATATAACAGTTATATTGTTTGTTGAGTAAGAAATTACAACTAACATGTATGTTACATGTAATATTGTGTTTGTTGGGATTACAATAAATATCAAATTTATATGACGCGGACAACACAACGTGATCTGTCACCGCGGCTGACAGCTGTAAGCGGCACGAATTCAACTGCGACGAGATCGAGACAATCGAGACGGTCGAGATGGCCAATTAGCGTCGCGGAAAAGAGGCTTCACCCACTTCGATATGTTCGAGATTTAGTTAACATGCACTTTTTGCACACTGATAGGATTTTTATGCAATAAGATGCTGGCATTTTTGGTTTTACAACAGTAATTTAATGGCCACGCTGACTCACATTGTACATTGTAAGTACTCACACAAAGACGTCACACGCACAAGACCGCCGCCATTTTCTCGCATGCAACCGCATGCGCCGGAAACCTTATGCGATGCACGTTCGAAGCGAAGCTTGATAGCGCTATCAATTTGAATCGTTTTCTTTAAGCTGTATCGTTCTCGCACGCAAGTTCAGATATGAATCCTATCGTATTTTATTGTATTTTATCTGATTTTACACGATTTTGTATTCTATAGGAAACTAACGGTAGAAATTCTATCATTATCTATTGTATTCTATTGTATACGATAGAATACTATTCACATTTTGTAAATTTACGAACCAAAATTCATATTCAAAACAATAGAAAATGATTATTTTACTTTATCGTTCTCTATAAACTTTTTTTACCAGGGATAAAATTTGTTCTGATATTATTAAGAATTTTAAGACTATTGAAATTATTACGTACTGTTAATTTTTTTTTTTAGATTTAGGTGAATATCCAGATGAATATCCAGAATTATGAAATATTTTTAAAGTATGTTTAAAATCAAGGGTTTGACATTTTAATTGAAGTTCAAACTACTTTGTACAAAGGGAAAAAAGACGCTAGTTTATTGTCAAAGACGTGAGGAAAGACAATCATGAATTCAAGCAGCTTGTATTTTTGAATAATTTGATGAATGATTATAACTAACCACAAGAGCTTTTATAACTAAATCTATTTATGGTAAAATGGAAAAAGTCGCTGATCCTGAATCTTTAGCTTGCAAGCATTATAATTACATGAATATCGGTGAATGCAATAATTTATATCAAAGCATTGATCTTTTAACTTTCATACATAGTATATCTTTTAACTTTCATACATAGTATATATTTTCTAGTGATATAACTAAACGATAGATCAAGATTTCTTATTTTCTAGTACAGTACTCGAGTCGCGTCAGAAGATGCAAGTAAAAGATGCAGCAAATTAGTAAAATCTTAGTTTCGAGTGAATATTCGTTATAATTGCTTTCGATAAAAATATCTATCTCGCGTCAATTCAGGAAGAACTTTTATTTTTTAGTAGAATATTCCGATAAACTTTTTCCTCTATATGCTAACAAGAGAGTAGAAAATGTAATAAGCGTAGAAAAAAAAATGATTCTTTTTTTACTTAATGATGAATTACACTAAAAAAATGATTCTTCTTACACTTAATGATGAATTATAGTATAAAAAAGAAAATCTTGGCAAGACAAAGGTTGACATTAGAACAAATAAAGTACGGACAATCATCATGTATATCGCACTTCAATATCATTTATTCACTACACTATATCTGAACTGAATTACTGCTAAACAGACCTCATTTTGTATTTTCGGCCATTTTTCGAGAACGCCAGAAGCAGAGTAACTTTACATTAAAAGTATTCTCGGTTTTGTTTTTTCTCATTTTTTTCGCTGAGGAGGTACGTAATTGATGAAACAAATTATAAAGTTTGCAGCACCATAATAGCTCGGGACACACAATTTATGCTCCAGAGGCGTAATACTTACAAAGAACAAGTGATATATAAGATCTAGGAAACTGACCGTATTTAATAGCGGTAGAGATTTGTAGTTGAGCTTGTTTTTTCTCATTCACATATACACAACCACCGCGCGAGCACACACACACACACACACACACACACACACACACACACACACACACACACACCATATACACTCTTTCTCTTTTATCACATACTCTCACACATATAAAGTTTGGGACGAGTACGAATTAACGTTTTTTAACGAGTCGCGTTAGAAGATGCAAGTAAAATGCAGCAAATGTGAGATCTTAGTTTCGAATATTCGTTATAATTGCTTTCGATAAAAATATCTATCCCGCATCAATAACGATACAATTATTCCTTCGTATCGATCGCATTTACATGATTTTTACATTGCGGTGTGAATCGGAGTATTTGCTACATTTTACTTTATCGATTATACATCGTGAACTTCGCTTAGAACATATACACGTAAAATTAACAATCGTTAGTCAAGTAACAAATCGAGTATCTCGCTCGTCGAGTGTTCAACTAATATAAATTAACGCCACGTCCCGCGTCGTTACTTATTCTTTCTCCTTTTTTTTTCCTTTTTATATTCACATTATTGTTAATTTTGTCTAAACTACACAATGAACATTTACAGTACGGCACGATAAACTATATGTACGAATCCGTAAACGCATACTCAGGTAACGGAAACTTCTAAAAGACGTTAAGACGTCTAAAAAATGTACTATTTCTTTAGGCGTTTTTTAAGTGTTTTTAAAACGACTTTTAGGGATTTCTACTATCCGAGTACTAACTAAATTCGAAGCAATCATAGCTCTTGTGCGTAAGTCTTCTACGGCGTACGATGAAATCGCTCGCTGTAATGAAACAATATATCGTACACCAGGTGTCATATATGCCTACCATCACAAGATTGTTCGCATGATTTTCAACTTTAAGTATATATGAATCTCTTAGAAGCCAAACTATTCCACTTTTTTTTGTAATTTCTTAATTTTAGCATCAGAGGATATATGTGATCAATTAAGTTTACAAAATTGAGGAATCTACAAAAAGTAGAGTTAATTGGCCTCTAGGAGATTCATAAGCATAAAGTTGAAACTCGGAAACTCTAGAAAATTCGTGTCAAAGAATATATAACGCCTGATATACGAGATGAATATAATCGTGAAAATTAGTCGAGGTGAACGTTTACTTCGTGCGTTACGAGTCAAGCAAGATAAATTCTAAATTACGAACGCGACAAAACCGATACGAAGAGAAGTTAGAAGTACAGCCAGTGTCGTAAGATACTCACTATCAAAGTGTTTAATTAAGCTTCGTTTTCGGAGGTTGCAAGTGCACGAAAAACATAGTAATCTTTTCACAAAACATTAACGATATTTCTAGTATTTCTTCACAAATTAACTTTCGACGAATCGTTGGTCCTTACGCGCTGGATCACATTACTTCCCTACGCTTCTCGATACGCCGCTCTTCGAGCTTTCGAACTTCCGCGAAATACAATTGAAGTTAATACAATTCGCACAATCTTTCGGGACGCACACCGCACAATTGTAGTTATTAAACACAGTCCGTCGAGCGATTACTATTCGGTAACAAAGGGGAATTGCGGGCAATCGCGTGGCACTATTTCAGTACGGCCTGAGTTTCTATTCATTTTCTCCGTTGACTAGACTTAATTTGTTCGATTAGAATATTATCAAAGTTGTTCTACGTGATTTTACAGTCGCAAGACTCCTCGATCGTTTCCGCGACGATCACATCTCACGTCCTCTCATCGTCGTCATCGTCGCCGTCGTCGCGTTGATTTCGTTCGCAGGAACGAGTCGTTATTTTCTACGTCGTTCGTGACTACACCGCAAGTATGGCAAGTTTCATTACGTTATAATCAAAGCCTATCCGTAAGCAGATATACTGCGTGCAATATGTATCAAGTTCTCCCTACCAGCACTATCGAAACGTTACCATATAAAAGCTAGAACTCACTCACATGGTTTATAGGATAGATATATATGGGGAAATTATCGAACGTAATAATATTTTAGGATGACTGTGAGCAACGGTGTTATCGCGACCCGGCCATCGGAGCTCCCGATTAAAAATATATTTATACTCTCTCTCCTCCGGGAAAATGATGAGAGGCTATCGCAATGTCTCGTGCGCATTCGCTAAGCTCGAGAATAAATCAAGGCGAGAGGAGAGAGAGAGAGAGAGAAAGAGAGAGACTGAATTTTCCTTCTTACAATGAAAGATTAACGATCCAAAAATTAAATTGATGCAGTCGTAGAGGCTGAGTCAGGAGAAATACTAGTGCTCGAGACATTTAGTGGTATACACATCGCGCGTTTCGCCTAATCGATGAATCGCTGCTGACCCGTGTGTGCCCGTGTGAATCCGCTCGTGCAAAATTAGATTCGCACACCGAAGATTTTCTTACTTCCTCGAGGAAGAGAAGTTGGTCTTATTCCTTGATGTGGTCAGCAGCAGACAGGTTTCATGCCACTTTCTTCTTACTAGTCTTCTTACTACGAGGCAAGGTAGCGAAGCTCGTTATCTGAAATACACGAAAACACAATATTATTGTCAATTCTGTCGCGTCTGGCGTGAAACTCAGGCGACGTAATCAGCCCGTGTCTCTTGTCATTTCAGTCGCGTTTCAGTCAGAAACTGATTAGTAGACCGCGCGAAATATAAAGGGGGAGGGAGACAAGCGCACTTAGCATTCCGGAAATCGAAGAGTTAAGAATTGATTCGCGACAGGCGCATCTGGTCCGTACAGAAAAGTCCGTAGTAGAGTACTTCAAGCATCAGAGCACAGCTTTTCTATCTCGAACAAGCGAATATCCGTTCGTTGAAGTTTCAGAAATAGAGATTAGTCGTGTTATATAATACGCCATGTCAGAAATTAACAATCATGCGGGGGGCAGATTACGTGTTACAATTAAGGGAGCCGGAGTTAATCCGTGGATTATCAAGACACTCAGAAACTAGTTCATACGATCTTAGACGGATCAGTCCATCTCTTCTGCCTGGATTTCCAATTAAGACAAAGTGAGGTACGGGAAATGAGGTGGGAGAGGAGGAACAAGCTCTTCTCGTATTTCGAAGTATACATCAGACAAAACGGGTACACGCCATTAATTATTTTACGCGTCCAAATATGAATCTGTAGCGAAGCGCTCTTAAATAATGTCGGTGATTATCTCTTTTCTGCCATCGCGGGCCGATCGCGACATCTCATGAATCTCCAAATTGGATTTATTTCTGACGCTTATCTCCTCGAACTTCTCTGTATTTTTCGCCGCGCCTTCATCCACCTTGTCGTTTCCAATTTTGTTAGGATCTGTCCCGACTTTATTCGAACTTGCAATCCGAGGATCAGCTCTTTCAGAATCAATATTCTTATCGGGGCCCTCGGCATCGCCATCGCGCTCCGGTCTCAGCGGGATTTCTTCCACATCGACTTCCTGCTTCGAGGAGCTTGACCATTTTGTAGATGCGTCCACGAACACTTGAGATCCGACGCTATTCGACCGCGACGCCGAGCGGCTGGTCTGCGTGGAGCTGGAATCCTCCTCTTTGGAGGAAGACTCGTTCTGCTCCTTGTGGAAGGCGCTATGAAAGATATTCTTCGGGATCGTTAATAACTTAGAGAAGCTCTCCTTAGCGCGCAGCCTGCCGGACTTCTTCTTCCTCTTCGTCGAGGTGTCCGGCGTGTGTGTCAGAAAAACATCCTTCGTGACGTCCGCGTTAGAAAACGTTCTCAACGTTCCGGTTTTAATAACCAAGGTAGCCTTCAGAGCGTTCTCAGACTCGGTCTCGTTAACGCCGTCTTCCTGGCTTGCCAGTGGCGCTCTCGGCGCGGGTTTCTTATGATACTTTCCGGCGCGGTTATCATCGTCGAGATTGCAACTCAAAGAGCTCGGTGTGACGGAACGCTGAGGTGTAGCGACATCGTGAGCGCGAGTGCTCGACGACGAATCGTCAGCTCGCGTTCCCGGCACGCTCGCGTCGTCTTCCTTACCTTGCTCAATCGCATTCAGGCTTTCTCGTGAAGACACAATGCCAGTCACCGCTTTGTGCGCATCGTCCAACAGCTGCTTGAGCTCGTCGAATCTTTGCTGGCAGATCTCGTCAGTCATGAGATCGACACCTACGTCGGGCTTCGTCGGGGATGAAGAAGAGACCGCTCTATCGCCCTTCACCTTGTCGTCGTCGGTATATTCAATTGGCGGTTCATTCTGTCGCAGATCAGTTTCTCTCACGAAAGTATCCGGATCCACTTGATCCGGCGAGCTGTTCTTCGTCAGCGTGCCTATCGATAAATTTTCCGTCGAGATATTCTCGATCTCTATAGTCTGCACCGTTTGCACGTTCACTCGAGGCGAGTCCGCGTCGACGAATTCGCCGCTCAATTCCATCGTCGACAACGACGACGATGACGACGATGACGACGACGGCGGCGGCTCGCTCTCGTCTATTTTCACCGCGGATCGATTTGCGCTCGCGGTTTTCTCGGACTTATCAACGCGCGTCACGATGCACTCGGGAGTCTGACGATCTTTCGATTGATTCTGAGAAAGCAACAGCAAAAGCTCGACGGCTTGTTCGGGAGTGAGGACATTCAGGGACGACGGGAGGGACGTGTTTTCGGGAGGTGAACGATCGATGCGGTCGAAATCCTCGTCCCTGTCCTTCAAAGAGACCACAAAAAGAAGTACATATCATTAACCGAGCTGACAGATGATCGGAGAGCGATGTGTGATATCATGTATCTTTCTTTCTTTCGCAATGACCGGTGTACGCGTATCAGTCTGTATCAGGCTACTATGTTGGCTTACTTCTGGCGTCTTCTTCGTGGTGGAACGAGGCTTCACACGCGTTCTCGCACCCACGCTCGACGTTCTCACTAACGAATCACCCTGAGAGGTCGCGCGATGAGACTGTAGCGCCTCGCCGCTGCTGTATCCACTAGATATGTCGTCCGAAGACCTTATATTTCTGTAAAGAGGAATCATCATCACTACTCGCGGCTATTTCGGCCACTCGGGAGAAAACCGACAACTCGGCTCGTCGGTGCGTCACGTACGTTAAACTAGCTATGGGTTCTCTAGGCCTTGGCTGTCGAACGTCGACATCCACTTCGGAAAAATACATCTCTACACGATTGCTGCTGGACTGGGTCCTGCGCGGGCTGTAGCCCCTCCTGCCGACGTGTTCTCTTCGACGAGGTTCCGCTGCAAGTGTGATTTTTATTTTTACTTGCGGAAATTTACTTGTCCAAGGTCGCAACTCGTCGCGGATAAAAAGAAGACCGCACACTCTTGTCTTATCTCGTTTATCTTCGCCGACAAATTCCCACTTAATTAGAACGATGCTGCGGAATCAGCCGTACCTTGCATGTCCGTCTCGTCGTGCGTGTCGGGTGTGTTTCTATTTTCGTCCTCCTTCTCGCCGGTCAGGTCGCTGAGGCTGTAACTTTTCCTCAATTGTTGCACCAGCCCGCCGCCGCCCTGAAAAGGGAAGTTGCTCGTGAAGTCATCCGTTCCGTGAACCGTGCGCGGTCGACACACATTACTCACTTACTTACAAGAGAAAGAGAATTAAGTGATCCAAATTAAGAGAAATTAAGTGAAAGAAACAAAAAATAAAATTCTTACCAACCAAAGGGGTGTTAATGTGTTATCTGCCGTCACCGGCACGGAGACCAGTTTCCCCTTACGCCCTGTACGAGCGGCGGATTTTCGACAATCCACAGGCGATCTCTTGCTTTTTTCCGCTTGCTTGTTCGCGCGTGTGTGTGTTTTTTTTTTATTTTTCTGTTAAACATGCTCTGTCCAAGGAAACACGCGGCCTCGACTCGGTATGACAAGTGAGTGTAGTGCGTGAGTAGTGTCGCATCTATGTAGCGCGTCTCAAAGCAATTAGTTCTATCAATGTGAGCTTGTAATTTTAAAAAGGGTGCGTTGCTGAAAGAGACAGAGCGAGCGAGCAAGAGAGAGAGAGAGAGAGAAAGAAAGAATTAATGCTTGCGATTAAATTTCTACTCAGGATAAAATTAAATTTGCAAAACGCAAGAGGAAGCGCGGTTATCGCAACGGGATAAAGACAAAACAGAGGATCGGGATCTCGTCCAAGTACGCTTTTATTTGAGAAAAGAAATCAACTCATAATGATTTAGAAACTTTAGAATACAAAAATCTTACTCGCTAAGATCGCTCGAGGAAAAATCACGGCGATAAACCGCAGGGGTAGGTACCTGGTACGGCACGGGCACAATACAGCAGCGTTCTTGTCGCACGAAAGATAAAGATTCATCTGCACATTCTTCTTCGGTCGGTTCTTCGTAGAGAATCGAGAAGTACATCGCGTACGCTATCATGTGTTGTGTCCGTGCGGGGGTGTGTACTTTTATGTGTGTGTTACAGTCGAAGTGACCGTTACGTTGTATAACGGCTATAACACGTAGTTATCCTGGAATAATACGTAGTTATCCTAGAATAATACGCAGTTACCCTGGAACGAAGCGATTATATATACTTCAATCGTAACATAACACATAAGAGCGACTCAAACGTCGCGCGGTGCAATGCGCGGTGACACACTCGTTCTCCTTCATTATTGTCGTGTCTTTACGTATTGGACATTTTTGTCATCTGTCAGCCTGACGCAGACCCTGCATCTCCGTCGCACGTTCGTCGAGGGGATAAGTTTTATTGCCGTGCTTTTCCAATTGCGCGTAACCTAAAGCAAATGCATGTTTATCGATAACTCTCCACGGATGAAAATGCAAACGATTTTATGAGTACACAAAAAAAACACGCGGATTAATACTATGATGGTTGCGTTCCGCTAGACGCTTGCGTCGACCGCAGCGTCATTCTATCCTTGTTTAACATTCCAATGAGAAACAAGGATAGAATAACGCCGCGATCGATGCGAGCGTCTAGCGAAACGTAACTGATGACGACGACGATGACGACGACGATATCGCGTCGTATTATGAGGACCTGCTACTTCTTCAGAGTCTGAGATCTGCATTAATAGTCGTCACTTGAAACTTCAAATGGGAGAAATACTCAGAGTTCAGAGTTAGATGAGAGCCTGTTAGTTGAATCGCGATTACAGGTATAACACATAAGTCATATGATTCAACTGGAGAACTTGGATCCAATTCTGAATAAATATCCGAGTATCTCACGTAAGACAAACTTTAAGCGCGACGACTATTAATACAGGCCTGTGAGACACGCCTCCCAAAACGCCTAATTTATCAAACGTATCAGCGCACGCTCGAGCGCTTTCGATACAATTGCGTCAACTAGAGTCGCGCGAATCACACTCCAGATCAGGGATTCATTGTTCACTCGTATATAATTCGCATCTAATAGCACCGGTCACGATAAAACATCGGAGAAAGATATACTTGCGCGGTTAAAGCTGAATTACGTTAAAAGGTAACGTTGTGTAATCAACAAGCGATAGCTGATTGTCCCGATTGCACTATGCTCACTCGTTATTTACCGGAAGAATATCGCGAGACACAAAAACATCACGTTACGAAAAGAGATATGTATAATTGATTCTCACAATGTATTTATTACATAAAATGTTCGATCGATACGATTGAATTTTCTTCTCAGATATTCTCGGATACTTTGGTGATTTCTCTTGACTGTCATCATTCGACTAGCATTATACGTCGTCGCGCGCTTTTACAGTGATTGATGTTATCAACGACAATATGATACACGTAAAAATACTGAGGTCGAGTCTATATGATAAATCATACCTAAAGCTACCTTATGCACTGATCAAAATGATCGTGATTTTTACAAAGATTCTAGAATCAACGTTTACGTGAAAAAGTACAAATCGCAGTAAGGCACTCGAGTAAGTAGAAATAGGTTAACCATATATCTTCTCTGGTATCGAAAGTATAATTGAAAGAGTTGTCCGCTGTTCTCATTGCTCAATCTCAAAGTCTTGAAACTTTCGTATATTTCGTTAAAAAAAAAGAAAAGAAAAAAATAGTAATACAAATTCTATCATTCTCGGCTTTTTTAACAAGCAAAACTTGTCCTTTTTAAGTAAACTGATTGTCGTTTGCGATTAAACAATCGTACATGATATATAATTTCGATACTCACATCAATTCAATATACAAAGTAAAATACAAGAGTAAGATATTTATGAAAGACAGGCTAATTTAATCACAATTCATATTGCGAAACCATGAATCGAAGATTTTATCTCGAATATATATAAAAAAGACGAACAAAGGCAAACCCATAGTGGATCATATAGAAAAAAAAATAAAAGAAAAAGAGATACATATTAAAGTGAGCGCACACGATGTGCTCAGATTTCTGTCATCGATCTTTAAAAGATCTCGCGATCGAAGGTCTCTCTCGCTCATCATTCACAATTATGTAGACGTGAACTTTCCGCGAGTCTTTCTCTCTGGCTTTCTTTCTCTCTTGTCTCTCTTGTCTTCGACGAAATCGCCGACTGTCATTTCGAAGACCGGCCGATCCGCAGCTTCCATCGAGGTTTAACCCCTCATTATAACGTTCCGCACATCTATGCAGAAGTACTTCTATTAAAATTCGGCATCGTCACTGAAATCGTCGATGTATTTCCTTGAGGTCGACTTGCAGGCTCGACTTTTCTGTCGCCTAAGAGGCACCTTCTTATTGGCCTTCGGTGGTGATTCCTCGGGCATTTTAAAGTCTGATTGTTCTTCTTGTTGCTGTTGCGGCAGTTGCTGCATTTGCGGCAGTTGCTGCTGCTGCTCCTGCTGTTGCTGCTCGCCTGGCACCTGCTGCTGCTCGTCCGGTACCTCCTCATCCAAATCGGTGTCCGTGCTGTACTCCTCTAACATGTACTCGTCCATTGACAACTCGTGATCCGTCAGTACTATCAAGGTTTCCACCTTAGGCTCAATAGGCCAGATGTCGGTCTCCCTGTCGTTGTTGCTCGAATGATCCGGGTTGTCTGTGTCCGTTAATCTCGTCGCCATACTGGGGCTGGCTAAGCTAGAAATCGCCAGGTCTGATTGGCGATCGAGGAGTATATTTGTCGTGATCGGGGTCATGGTCGAGAAGTACTGTCACGACGCCAATTTTGCGTTTTGTTTCACATATATATATTTTTTTTAATTTCATTTCGGATCGGTCAGCAATTCGGTGTGGTCGTAGTGGTAGTAGTAGTGGTGGTGGTGGTGGTTATTACGGGTCAATGGCAGAATGTTGTTGTGCGGTTGACGACGTTTCGGTGTAGACAGAATTCTTAAGCAACGACAGTTAAGGCGGGTGACGGTTAGAGGCCCGGCGTTTGCCGTGCGCGGATTTGCGGATGGCGATGACCGTTGTTGTTCATGTTTTTTTCGTTTGTTTTTTTTTCGATTTTGGATTAGGCAGATGCGGTGACGGCGATGCGGCGGTAGTGATAGGACGATGGCGTGCAGGAGCGCGTAGGGACAGAACGAAAACAGAAAAAATTAAGAACACGTAAAATCATTAGTGGGCGGTAATCGAGAGATCGTGGGTAAATAGAAGTCTTATGCGCGTGGTTCACAATGAAGAAGCAGGAGCTCAGGCTGGTTAAAGTTCGACGTCAAACGAAAAAAAAATTAAGCATTCCCAGATACCGGCGAGCTTTTACCGAGGACAAGATCCCACGCGTGAAAAATCACTAATAACCATCGCAACAGTTATTACGTTCGACTTGTAATCTATTATACAGCAAACTCTATAGAGAACGCATCTACTAACTGATAACTCATTGAAAAATAAATCTTTAAGACTTCCCCAGAACGGAAAACTTCCTCAAAAACTGCCGGCTCCTTTTACATTTACACACGTGGTGTCCCCAACTATCGTCCCAGTCATCGTCCTGTGAGTCCTTCGAGATCAGTTCCAAATGCGCTCTTGCATTTGGAGAAGAAATCCCCAGGGAAGACGGGCGACGATAGCTTCGAGACACTGCGTTTAACAACAACACGTTTCCTTCGAAGTTCGGTTCACGCGGGGCCTTACCTTGATTGCGGTCTGCATGAGGACCGTAGTGGCATAATTTACGCCCTTAGTACCGAGATGTAAAACCGCCGTGTAGCCCTGTTCTGTCGCGCGTGCGAGGGCCTCGTCGATCTCAGCCTCGCGGCGGATTAACGCCGGATGCACGAAGCGTCGGTAAAGGATACTGGAGCCCTTAGTGGCCGGACTTAGCAGCCAGAGTACCAAGATGATCTTAATCTCATAGTAAAACGGAAACCTACGTAACAAACGTCGCGGCGTGTAAATGTCATACGCAACAACGTTGCTATTCGCTGTTTCTACCTCGAGGGAGAGGCTACTTTGTAATCCCTTTACATATTGTGCTATGAAAATCTTAATCTTACGACAAGTGATATTCGTGCACGAAAATCTTACAAGGCGCAATTATGAAGATATTCAATTTATGTTAAAGAGTGTGACCAAGATTGGCTCAGATTTATGGCCAAAAAATTTTGAAACCATTTTGGACTTGAAGTTTATGGTGCGTAGATTACAAATATATATGCAAATATCAAAGTGCAAGTATCAGACTTCAGAACTTCAAAGATATGACCTATTAAAAATTGAACTTCAAAGATATGACCTATTAAAAATTGCACGAGATGGCGTTAGTGCTCGCCGTACTGAATTGTGCTTACTAAGCGACAATCACATCTTGTCACTTGTGACAGTATAGTTAATCAATACATGGTTATAGATTTTTTCATAGTATTGAGACCTCAGATTTTAAACCTCAAGTCTGAGATAATTTTTGCACAAATGTGCGCCTCGAGATTAACACATCTCATGGGAGTAGAATTCTCGCACCATAAACTTTATTTTAAACCCAAAATGGTATCAAAACTTTTTGACTACGAATCGGGGCTAGTAGTTTGTAGACATAGTTGGCCATACTCTTTGTTAAGTCATTGGGTCTAATCGCGAAGTGTTCTCTTCTTCTAACAATTATGACTATAAGAGACAACTAAGTGTGAATTCTGCGAGAGGATCAGGATAATAAAATTGTGGATACAATTTGTACACGGAAAAAACAACTCTATTAGTGTAACTGAACTTTCTGTTACCTAGAGATCAGACAAAAACTCGGTCGTAGGAACAGAAAGATATCTATAGCGAATTTCTGCTCATCCAAATGCTCTTAATTATCTCAAGCGAGTTTTAATGCAACTGAATATCCAGACGAAGGTTTTAAGTCATAGAGTGACAGAAATATTATTTCTCATCAGTTAGATTTGGTGCGTCTCGTTTAGTTACCCGAATTGAATTTTCTTTTCCGTCTACGCTCGATTCTCGGTCGCGAACAGTCGCACGAGAGGCGCTAGGTAGAACTGGTGAAAAAGTCGAAGCGCTGTGATATATTTCGCGACGCGGCCACGAGCGTGAAAGTGAGAGCTCGTGGAGAAAAGCACGAGCACCGTGAGGGTATCGGGCATTCGACGCCAGAAATACGCGGGACTCTCGTTTCCTTCTTGGTTGTAATCCGAGTATGAAGGGAGATCTGGCACGATGTGGTAGAAGAGAGCGAGAAAGAGACGGAGAGAAGAACGCGAGAGAGGAGAGGACGGAAGGCAGGGAAGCGGTGCGGATAGAATCCTCAGAAGTGCATGTAAGCCAATATCTATCTCGTCCGAAATTAGACTTTCCGAATTCCTCCTCGCGGCGAACGCGGCTTTCAGACCGCGCGGTTCGCAGCTGGTTTATTGGCCCCTTGTTTGCCCTCGCACGACTACGAAGATTCATCTCAATATCCGGTGCATTATGCCGCGTACACATCGGCCTTTCGCCCGGTCGTTACACGGAGAACGCTCGAGTGCAAAGGTTAATGAACGGTGACTGGAGTATTAATCGCGATAATAAATTTTCCCGACAAGATTCGCAAACTTCCGAACTTTCCGGTGGACGCGCGGGATCTCGTATTCTTATCAAACGTCATCTTTCTCCCGACTGACACCTCGATTGACGAGCGGACATGCGTGAGGGTGCAATGACAGTCCTACCTAATGTCCCGCGCTACTCGGATGAATCGCACGAGACCTCGCTCAATTTACACAAATTACGAGATAAATATCCAAAGTAAGGTATCTCTCTCACCAGAAACTAAAGAAGACGTCGGTGAACGTTTCCGCGCATGTGAACAGCGCGAACACGATCCAATACATCATCCATTTGACCTGAAACCAAATAAATCCCAGAGCGATGGATTATTGCAAAAGCGGCGCAGAAGATGGGTACGCTTGACTCGCTATTTTTACGGCATTCGATCGGCTTTCGTGGAATTCGCGTGGAATTTAAAGGAGTCGAAAATTTCTGCGACGTGAGGTCGCGCAGCCACTTGATGCTATTATTGCCACTCATCGTTTACACTTACATATTCCTTGACGTTCTTCGTGCGCACCGCCTTGTAAGACGCGTACGCCGGATACAGAGTGCCGAAGACCAATCTGAAAATCGGATATACGAGCCTGTAAATGAATGATCGCGGCAACACTATCGCGAGGAACACCGTCAATAAGCCGATGTTGTTCAATGTCATTCTAATGGAAAACGTTTGCACCCAGTAACGACACCAAGCCATCGTCTGTCTCGTCAAAATCTCGAAGGTTCCCGTCTTTTGTATCGACATGACCGACAATTCCCTCAATCGTGGATTGTCCGTCGTGGATTTCTCGAGCATGTCTATCGTCGATCGACAATTTCTTTTCGGTTCCATTCTACCGGCAATTTATCTCTTTCTTTCTGTCTCTCTCTCTTTCTTTCTCTTGAAAAAACTTCTTTAATCACGGAATGTTGAGTTCTCCCTTGGCTCCTTCAACGATCGTCGAACCGACGGCCGACGAGACCTCACTAGAACAGGAAATAGAAATTATCCGGGGAATAACATTGATGCGTGCAAACGACATACAGTGTAAGAAGACTTAACAACTAATGGTGAAAGAGTCAGTTAGACGAAGGCGGCACGGGTGCTTTCTTTAGTGAAGTCGATTATCGGATTCATTAAATGGCTCTGACAAATGGGACCGTTACATGTAGGACGACACGATTCTATTTTGATGAGAGTACATACGTTAGCGAGGTAAAATTAATATGTACATCAATTTAAAGTATATTTCGAACGTGCAAACAAAATATAAACTGCATGAGAGTGCAATGCTTGAGTGCATCTTTGACTATTTAAGTATTTTGAGCTGCTCGTGAATGATTCAATGTTTTTTAACGACGACGTTGCGGAATAATCACCGAATTCGGGATTTCGGAGCAGGGCTTTTGACTGAAGTGCAGTCATCCGTCGATGCCTGCGACGACCTCAATCACTGCGCGACCTCGTTTAAAGGGATTGCGTAAGAAACTTATTATGGAGATCCAATTAAATCCTCGATATTGCCCATCCCGTCGTAGCTTCCGAGATTGGAACGCGACAGTCCTCGCATTCTTCGACAGATCACTAAACTTTGATGAGATGATAACGCTCTCTCTCTCTCTTTTTCTCTTTCTAATAAAATCGACGTCTTTCTTTCTCTTACAATCCGATCGTTCCGTTCGTCAGATTCATCCGCGTCTCGTGTTTCCCGGCAACTGCTGTCGTTGTCAGTTCGATTCCTGTTGACGACGTTTCCTGCGAGTTGTTTCCTGCTCTGTCGTGACCTTTCGCTCTCCCCAAAATTAATTCCTCTCGTGCTCGCGCGACCCGCGCGTCGTTCCCGAACTCCTCGGTACCGACACGCCGCGACTCGCTCTTTGCGCGGATGCTTCCAGTTAAAGACTAAACACGTAGCCGCGTAGCGTTCGTGCGGGCCACCGTCAAACGACGACGGCGACAACGACCAACACCGCTTGCACAGGCTCTATTTTCGCGCCTTAAGTCGCTGTTACACGCGCGCGTCATCTTTGAACAGACGAGATGCGTCGTCTGGAAAAGGACTAACCGCGGCTTTCTCGTCCGTTGATTCACCATATATCATGCACACGTTGCATTGAATCGCTACTGGGAACTGAAGTTTTGCACGTGCGTTCCGTAAAGGCTCGTCTGCAATGTATGGAGTAAGCTTGGCATAAATTGGAGTAAGCAATTGAAATAATCTCTCTCTCTCTCTCTCTCTCTCTCTCTCTCTCTCTCTCTCTCTCTCTCTCTCTC